AGAGAATAGAGTGATTATTTTTAGAGAAAATTTGGTATAAGTGATCGTCAGGAAGAGTTAGTGATTTGCGTTCTTCTGTTATTTGTTATTTACTCTTTTGTTATACTATATATATTAAACTAATAGATAGTAATCCAAATTACAACTCTTTCTAATAATTATTTAGACCAACTAGTATCAAAAGCAAGTTGAAAACTCAAGACCAGAAGTTAATAACAACTTGAAGTTTTTCAATATAAACTGTTATTAATAAAGTTTCTAAATATAATATACTGATAAGTAGATATTTTAGATAATTTGCAAAGGTATCAAGCCTTGTTTTATATTTTCTTTAAGTAGACTTCTTTTTGTATTTAGTATTCAAACTGAAGAAGTCTCTAGAAACTGTAAGTAGAAAAGAAAACTTAGAAAGTTTGAAGATGAAAAGATATAACGAACTCTTGAAAAAACTCTCTTTAGTTGAAAACTTACAAAATTACAACTTTTCTTGTCACTTTGATGCTTCCAAAATTAATTTTTGACAAAAAGTAAAGAGTTTGGCTACTTTCTATCAAAAGATTGGTATTGTTTACTACTTCTATATTAGGTGACTCTGTGATATGAATACAACAAACATGTGGTACATAAAAAGTAATTTATTTCTTATTTGGGAGTAGCCCTGTATATTAAAAACTTATAGTTTTTAAGAACTTACATACCTATTAGATGAAATAATATAGTTGTTATATTTACTAGTTAAATACAAAACATTGTTTGTCTAGAACTTATTTAAATATATTAGAGTTCTAAACTTTTTTGTACTAAGTTAATTATCTTTAAATCTCTAATTAAAGTTGTAAAACTTATTAAAATAATTCTAATAATAATTAAATTATTAAAATTAATCTAGTAAATTATGAGATATCTAGAGTATAGTAACTTAGTGAAGTGGTTAAGTTGTTATACCTCCAAGTGACATATTGGCTAGGTAGGGGGTTTGAAACCTACTGGTGACGAATTTTAAAAATCCTATCTGTATGATGGCTATTGTCGTTTCATTGATTGGTTAGAATATCTCTGTAATCTTGGTAGCATCAACAAATATTGAAAAATTATAGAGCATTTGTGTATTATATAAGTTATATGAATAAGCTTTCAGATCATAATAAACCCAGAGAACCGAAAAGATGATAGATGCTCACTTGGCAAGATCTGAGTAGAAAGATAATATAGATCTTCAATAATACTATGTAAAGGATTATAGTTAGAAAAGCGAATTGACTAAACAGGACTGAAGTATTTGAAAAGGCACTTCACCAACCAGGCTACTGAGAAAGTTATCAGAAGAAAAAGACCTAACTATAGAGACCAAGAGCAGGTTACAGCCCTTTTGAGCTATCTGAATTGGTAGTTTAGGAAATTCAGGAAGTACAGTATAGTCTGTAAAGTGGGTATTAGGGTATGGATAAACTCTACAAGAGCAAAAGTAGATAATGATAATAGCTTCGGCTTGCAAGTTGCTATCTACAGACTCGGCGTAAATTATTGAAGCCTAGGCTAACTGAATTATGGATACAGAAAACTCTAGCAGGTTTACTTCAAGGACAAAAGGCTTACTGGTTGAGCTTGCTTTAAAGTCCTAAGTCAGGGTTCTCAAAGAATATATCCTAATTTGGTTATATAAAAGGTTGACCCACATAAAGCGCAGAGAATTTAAATAGATAACTCTCTAGTCAGGTTGCAGGATAGTATCTAGTATAGAACTTAGTAATAAGTGAACTACTTAAATAGGCAATCAAAAGTTGTATGTATAGCTAGTATGTATCCTTTAAATATATATACTATACGAGCACCGAGAGGGGCTTAGCATATAGTAAAGTTAATCAATAACTAAATAAAGAGAACTGACTAAGAGATCACTTTAATACCAAAAAAAAAAAAATTATGAGATATCTTCAAAAAATAGTTTACTGACTAAATAAGATTCTAAAAAAGCTTTATTTTTAATATACTACCAAAAAATCATCTTTTTTTGTAGATTAACAATATATAGAGATGTAGAATAAGAAAATAGAGTTCAAAAAAATAATCATATTTTTAATATAACACCAAAAAAACTTTTTTTTTCTAGATTAATAATATATAAAAATGTAGAATAAGCCTAAAATTTTTGTATAACTCTAAATTATATAAATAAACAGACAAAAATACAAAGCTACTTTTTTGATATTTTAATATATAATGCATCAAAAAAGTAATTTTTGTATCACAATGCATAAAAATTAGAGTTTGTTATTTTATTCCAGACAATTATACTTGGAATAAAATATGGATTTAAAGTTGAGATGATAAAAAGAATTTGAGATATACAATCTAATGATAAAAGTTATATATATATAATTTTTAACCCTTGACACAGGTTAAAGTACATTTAGTTTAGTTTTCTTTATATATTAGCTGAGTTCTATATATTTACTATAATCATATAGATAAGTATCCTAATTAGCAAGTACAAAATTTGATAGATAGATTCTTTAGTTTTATATTTGTACTTTAAATTCTTTTTATTAGTTTAGTTACTTTCTTATCTGTTTCATTTTTAAAATATCTATCTTCTCATATTTCTCATTATCCTATTTGCTTTTCTAATTTTTGTTAGAAAATATTTCTTCAGATTGGTAAGATATTATATAAGGCAGTGATCCTAACAAGGTTAGTAAACACTTATTATAGACTCTTAAGTATAAATTCTCAGTAAGTTAAGAATTCCAGATAAGGTAAACATAAGCTACTTAGTCAAGTCACATTTGGGTCTTTCTTGCAGAATTTATTTATAGGTTCTTGTTTAATAGATTGAATGATTTTTTATTAGTAAGAGGGCTTCTACTTATTATGTAATTATAACCCCCCTGGGGTTGTCAATTGACCATTTCCAAGGGTCTCAGAGTTAGTCATTTAACAATTACAAAAATTAAAATAATTAATAAATAATTATATAAATTTTGCATATTTTATAACCCCTTGCATATTTTTATGTACCTTTGCATAATTATGTATAATTATGTATGATTATGTATAATTATATATAATTATGCATAATTATGCAAGGAGTATATAAAAATATGCAAGGGGTTATAAAATATACAAATTTTATATAATTATTTATTAATTACTTTAATTTTTGTAATTGTCAAATGACTAACTCTGGGACCCTTGAAAATGGTCAATTGACAACCCAGAGGAGGTTATAATTACATAATAAGTAGAGGCCTCTAATAGGTATATATATTTTACTAGATAAATTAGCCTCTACAGAAGTAATTCTATGCTGATAAAAAATAATAAAAAAAGAATTGCTAAAACAAAAAAATAGATAGTAATTATAAAATTTTATTTATAAAAATTGATTTATTTTATTTATTATTTGTTATTCATTTTTTATCATACTATATATATTAAATCAACAAAAATAAGTGCAAAATTTTATTTATAAAAATTGATCAATATATTTTATTGTTAACAAGCAAATAAAATATATTTCTCTATAAACTCTTCTTTTATCTGTTATCTATTATTTACTCTTTTGTTATACTATATATGTTAAATTAACAGTATATAAGTATAGAATTTTATTTGCAAAGTTGATCAACATACTTTATTATTAACAAATAATCAAAATAAATTTTTTTATTAATTAGTCTTTTATCTGTTATTTGTTATTCACTCTTTTGTTATACTATGTATATTAAATCAACAGAGAGTAAATATAGAATTTTATTTATTAATATATTTTATTGTCAATAATAATCAAAATATATTTTTCTATTAATTATGCTTCTATTTGCAATCTGTTATTCACTCTTTTGTCATGCTATATACATTATTAAATCAACAAAAAATAAGTGTAGAATTTTATTTATAAACATTAAACAACATATTTTATTATCAACAAACAATCAAAATATATTTCTTTATTAATTATTCTTTTATCTATTATCTATTATTCACTTTTTTATCATACTATATGTGTTAAATCAACAGTAGTAAGTGTAAAATTTTATTTATATAAATTGATTAACATATTTTATTATCAATAACAATCAAAATATATTTCTTTATTAATTATTCTTTTATCTATTATCTGTTATTCACTCTTTTGTCATGCTACATGTATTAAATCAACAATGCATAAATGTAAAATTTTATTTATAAAAATTAATCAACATAATATTGTGATTAGTAAAACGCTACATTCTCAGAGTATATACGTTGTACGTACAGGTTAAGTAATAGTCTCTAAAATAAAATTTCAAATAAAAATAAATAAAAAATAAATCAAAATAAATACATCAAATTAACAAGTATAAGACAAGTAATGCAAAGCATCATCTATCGCACTAGTTAGGTAAAAATTCTTACATCAAAAAATTATAAATCATTAGGGATTTCAGAATCGATTAATTTAGAAACTAAAACTATATTTGATATTTCGTTCGTATTAATGAAATTACTTGTGTACGTTTCATTAAGTGTGATGATAATAGGAGATAACGCACTTAATATATCGGAATTTAAAAATTGCTTTTTGATTTCGTTATCATCTGGTGAATTTATTTGATCCATCCAATTTTTAATTTCGAAATTAATTTCATAAGCTTTTGGTCGTTTTTGTGGATCTGAATCCATACATAGTTTGGCCAATTCTATATAACATTCAGGTGTTCCTAGACCAAGTTCTGGTCTCAATCCATAGCAAATCTTCAACGCAAGGTCGGTGTCAAATTCATATCCATCAAATGCTCTTTTTCCGGTTGATATTTCTGTCATTATAATGCCGAAACTATATATATCTGACGCTTGTGTGTATGGTTTTCCTTGTAAAACTTCAGGTGCAACATATGGCATGATTCCATAAATATTATTCTCAAGCGTCTTGTTAGATGAAAATCCTAAATCTGAAATGTATGCATTATCAAGATTGTCTTGTAATATATTGCCACTATGCAAATCACGATGAATAAAATTTTCATAATGAAGTGCTTCGAGATCAGAAGTAATATCGTGTAACACATTCATCTTTTTTTCCCACTTCATTTTAGATATAGTAGGAAGATTTTTACTTAAAGATCCCATTTCTGCTAATTTTAAGACAAGAATGTCATTTCCTGAATCATCTTTGGATATTCCATAGCATTTCAAATTAACATTTGAAATGTAATATGCTATTAACTAGTTAACAAAAATTAATGGTTAACACTGAATAATCAACAAAAAAAAAAAAACAAGGAAATAATATTTACTTCATTTGTGAAACATTCATTTTTTGGGGGGAATGATTTAAGGGCAACACTTTGATTCTCCCATGTTGCTTGATATACAGCTGAAAATCCACCTTGGCCTATCTTTTTAACGTCTTTAAACTTATTGTAAGGGAGTTGTAATAATTTACCTCTCATTTTTTTATAATATTCTAAAGCTTGGAATTCGTCTTTCTCTACTCCAATTCCATGTCTATAACAGTAACCAACATTAAATGTTCCTTTAGCGTGACCTAATTCTGAAGCTTTTAAATAATATTCGAAAGCTTTACGTTTATCCCTGATAACTCCAGCTCCATATTGATAACAATATCCAACCATATAAGTTCCATCAGGATGTTCCAGATCTGCAGATTTCATGAAATATTCGAACGCTTTTTTTTCATCTTTTTCAAGTCCAATTCCGTTTATATACCGTAATCCAGTGGAAATTAAAGTCATTGGTGTAGTAGGATTGCCGACATTTAAACTAAGGAAGGAGTCGTCGTTAAAAGAAGATCCATTCGTAGATCCCAAGTCATATTCATTCTAATATGAAAAAAAAATCCGATTAAAATGTTTTAACGCTTTTTTGATTTGGAATTTAAGAATAATAAATTTTTTTTACCTTCACAACAGCAGGTTGAGAATTCATTCTTTGAGTTTGGATCCAGTGTTGTTGTCGTATGGCTTCATCTTCAGATGTGTAATAACATCGATGTTTGGATTTCACACACGCTGCACATGATGGAGTCTTTCTATCGCATTTGACTTTTCTTTTTTTACAAGACACACATGAACGGTTTGGGTGACCTAAATTGCTGGACATCGGTACTGGAGAATGAGGAGGAGTACAATAGAGAAGAGTTGGTTTGGGATGATGGTTCATTAAGATTGGTTCAAAGAATTGCGAATCTTGGAATTGTTGATAAATCATCATCTTGATTAAATTCTTCAATTTCTTCAAATTCCTTAATTTTTTTTTTTTTTTGAACTTGCTGAAAAAAAAAGTCTGCAAAATTGTAGAATGTGAGATAATATAACATGATCTACAATTATATGTGGTAATGTAAAATTTAAATATGTACGGTATTTTAAAAAATTTTTTTTTTGTACAGTACAGTCAGGGATATGGCTGGTGCATATCTGCGATAGCATAATATGCGCATAAATCCGATTTTTATCGCATAGCATATGCGATTGCGAATTTCACATATAAAGACCATTTTCGCATAATTAATAGTGCATAATCCGTGCATAAAACGGCTGGTATTAAAATTATAAGATATCGGAACATCTCGGAAAGTAGACAGTCAATGAGCACAAAACACGAGCATGGTTGTCGGGAATTTTCAGAGGAATAGTAATAGGTTACGAAAATATGGTAATTTTATAACCCTGGTAAGCGCATATTTTCGCATATTTATACCTGAACCGCATAATATACAGCATAATTCGAAAATTTTATCGCATAATTTCACATAAATCGAAAAGTAATGCATGCATAATTTGGGGTCTGTTGCCGCAGAAAATGGTGAGCCCTAGTCAGGGATTTTTCAAATTCGTGTAACGCAGATCATTTCTTGTTTTGGGGAACGTCTATAAAGCCGTGTCCAGTCACGTGTTTTTTATTTTTTAATTAAAGTTAGGGTAAGGTTAGTTTGGGTTAGGGTCAGGGCATGTCTTATAGTAAAATTGTTCTCCCGACATTTTTTATTAATGCAACAAGATGGGTTTAGACTATCGTTTCTTGTATTTTTGCGATTTTCACTTTTTTTCGCTGTTTTTTTGTCTCTTCGGGCTGATCCGTGTCGATCAAAATAAACAATTCTATTGGCTTTAAGTCACGTGATAGACACGGCTTTAGACGACCCCCTTATATGTTCCATTAGTGGTCTCCAGACTTTTGGTAATATATGAATGCCTCATTTCAATTCCAATTCCTTTTTCATAACAATCTCCAACATCGAAAGTTGCAACAGCATACCCATTTTTGCAGATTTTTTATAGTATTCAAAAGCCTTACGTTCGTCTTTCTCAAGTTCACGGAGTTCTGTGTCTGTCTGACCCATGTTCAATGATATATAATGTCAAATGAATTTTTTTCTTTATTGTTATTTATAGATGCATTACAACAATCTTTTACAAAATAGTCTAACTTATTTTTTAATTTATACACAAAAAAAATTAAATTAGGCGATTGTGATGTTTAAAAGGCATTCATTTACAGTAACATCAAAAATCTCTTGATATGGATAATGCTCTTGCGATGGATAATGCAGGTAACTGCTACAAAAATGAACTTGGATTTGTAATAAAGGATTCGCTTATTACCAAAAATA